TCTCCAGTGTTACTTCATTAAGTATCGCAGTGCCAGACGTGGACTTTACATTTTAACAAGGTCTAGTTAATTCATATTTATTCTACTAGGGAAGTTTTTGCTCTGTATTTAGGTTTTTTGTGTTTGTTTTCATAAAAGGAAACAAAATTTGGGTTTCTTTTCCAGATTTGGAGTCACCATATGAGACCAAGAATTTACTTACAGAAAAGGGCATTAATGAAATAAATTTTTCCAAATGGAACCCAGATGGAAAAAGTAAATCCCTTGGCCTCTACTGGCTGTGTGAAGGTGAGTTGGTTGGAGCACAGGGCCCTCAAGAGGGCTGTTTCAGTCAGGTGATAACCAACTATAGGAAAACACCCACTGATAGAGAAAATACCTCTGTTAGACCACAGCAGAGACTTCATAATAGGGAGAATTCCTATGAATGTAAGGAATGTGGGAAGGCCTTTAGTCGTGGCTATCAGCTTACTCAACATCAGAAAATTCACACTGGTGAGAAACCCTATGAGTGTAAAGAATGTAAAAAAGCCTTTCGTTGGGGTAACCAACTTACTCAACATCAGAAAATTCACACTGGCGAGAAACCCTATGAATGTAAGGACTGCGGAAAGGCCTTTCGATGGGGATCGAGCCTCGTCATTCATAGGAGAATTCATACAGGTGAGAAACCCTACGAGTGTAAAGACTGTGGGAAGGCTTTTAGACGTGGTGATGAGCTCACTCAACATCAGAGGTTTCACACTGGTGAAAAAGACTATGAGTGCAAAGACTGTGGGAAGACCTTTAGCCGTGTATATAAACTAATCCAACACAAGAGAATTCATAGTGGTGATAAGCCCTATGAATGTAAAGACTGCGGGAAGGCCTTTATCTGTGGTTCGAGCCTCGTTCAACATAAAAGAATTCATACTGGTGAGAAGCCCTATGAATGTCAAGAATGTGGGAAGGCCTTTACTCGTGTCAATTACCTTACTCAACATCAGAAAATCCATACTGGTGAGAAACCTCATGAATGTAAGGAGTGTGGGAAGGCCTTTCGTTGGGGTTCAAGCCTTGTTAAACACGAAAGAATTCATACAGGTGAGAAGCCATATAAATGCACAGAATGTGGGAAGGCCTTTAATTGTGGCTATCACCTTACTCAACATGAGAGAATTCACACTGGTGAAACGCCTTATAAATGTAAGGAATGTGGAAAGGCCTTTATTTATGGATCAAGCCTTGTTAAACATGAGAGGATTCATACAGGGGAGAAACCCTATGAGTGTAAAGAATGTGGGAAGGCCTTTAGTCATGGCCATCAACTTACACAGCATCAGAAAATTCATACCAGTGAGAAACCTCATGAGTGTAAGGAATGTGGAAAAGCATGTAACCATGTAAACCATATTAGGGAACATCAGAGAATTCACACTGTAGAAAAACCTTTTGAATACAAAGAATGTTCAGAGGTGTCTATACAGCATTCATTTCTTCTGCGACATGAGGAAAATTCATGATATAATTTAATATACAAAGTCTTCACTGGTCACTTTTCTTATAGAACTTCAGAATAGTCATGCAAATTTGGAGGCAAATTAGAAGATTGGAGAACTTACTTTTTCTTAATGATTATAACATACTCAGTGTAGACGATTTTTTTACTAGATGGGTTCGTTTAATGGATGCATAGAAGCTTTCCAGTACCTTTCAATCTCTTACATTTTGGATTCATTCTAGGGAATAACTCTGCTAATGTAACGTGTGCAAAATCCTTTCGTCATGGTACATACCCGACTGGTTATGTAGGGTATGACCATCATTATCATCCCACCTCTTTACTCCCTGTGAGATGCTGGGCAAGTTAGCTATACTCCTGTGTAGTATTTGTGAAATGGGGATAAGCACACCTACCTAATACAGCTATTGTGGTGATTCAATGAGTTTGGTACATGTAAACCCTTGAAAGTGTATCTGGAATATTGTATAAGCTCAATAAATAGTGTGTAAGCTGTTGTGCTTATTTTCATTCCGTTAGTATTGCTCTTGGTGAATTATTACAAGACGATCTCCTATAAACGCAGCGAGTTCAGAAAAGACTATGAAACTTCTAGAAGAAAATGTAAGTGATTATTGTCACAGTGTTTCTTAATACACAAAAGAGACTAAACATAAAATAAGGTTAATAAGTTGACCATTATCAAAAGTACAAAATTCTGTTCATCAGTGACACCATGAAGATAGTGAAAAGGCAAGAAACAGACTGAGGAAAGATATTTTTGCTACATGCACCTGACAAAGGACTCACATAGAAAACAAAGGGATACCTCAAGTCAGTAAAATAAATCAGTTAAAAGAGTAGAGGGGAGGACTTGAATAAGCACTTAATAAGAGCTCACCAAATGGTCAGTAAGTAAGAGATAATGTGTTCACCATTTCTCATCAAGGAAATGCAAAGTAAAACCACCATGGGATGTCACTAGACGCTCACCAGAATAGCTAAAATTGAAATTGCATATGAGCTGGTCTGTTTTTTCAAATTCAAACACAATCTGTTCAGGAAGGAACTGAGCCAGCATATTGGACACCTTCTAGATCCTGAAATTTCCACAGCAGGGATGGGATGTGATGCTCCAGGGAGGTGAGTGGCCTTGTCCTGAGGAAGGGGCCAGGGCCCAGGGTAGAGTCCCTGGAGAACAAGGGGACAATTTGACTTGAGAGAGACTAGAGCTGTCCTAAATAGGTCAGCCATAGAGTGAAGGGAGTGGTTTATCTTGGAAAAGGGCTAGGGCTCATGGGAGTGAGTTTGAAAAGCTGGGAGAGGAGCTGATGGGCAAAGTGCATGAGGAAGGAAATGCTAGTGCTCAGAGACAGGTCCTGGGAGATGGGGAGAGGAGCATCCCGGGGGAACCTTGAGAAGCGAGATGAAGACTTGATTACTCGGGAGTTACAGCCTGGGGAATCTAAGGTGGGTGCTGAAGCCAGTGGGAGAACCTGGACACAGAGATAGCAGTGTGGCTAGAGCTCAGAGAAATGTCCTATGAAGACTGACAAAGGATCCAGAATCATTGTAGTAGGGCTTATGTTTGGTTTACCTCAGGATCAGGGTTACATCTCAGTTAAAGCCAGGTAGTCCTTGGGTTATGTATACTTTAGTGTTGGGTTTAGGATTTGAAGCATCTGGAAGGAGGGACTGAGAGAACGTGGAACATGTTCAAGGGGAGGGGTACCAGACTCAGGTGACTTTGTGTGAATGACGCTTCACTATCCCCAATAGTCACCCCTGTAGGAGTTATCACCATTCTTAGTGTCCTTTCCTGTGGATCCTATGCTACTATCAACAGAAGGGGCACAAGACCCACTCCTGCTTCAGACTGCAGGGTAGATGGGCACTGTCCTTCCAAACTTTATAAACAGAGGAGATGAAGGGGCAGGGAAAGAAGGGCAAGGGAAGGAGTATGAGATGGAAGAAACTTGAGAAGGAATTGGAAGATTACTGTCAGGAGAGAGGGGAGACCATAAAGAGGATGAAAAGTGGGAGTAGGAATGTGGGGATCATAGTGGAGATAATATTGAGAAACTCGAAGCTGCACAGAGACCGGCAGGACTGGGCAGGCCTGTGGTGAATACAGGCAAGATGCAGGGATGGGTAATTGACAGAAGGAACAAGGGAAAGTATGTATTAGTCAGGACTCAGTTCAAGGAGCAAACACCTAACTCGAAGTAGCCTAAGAGGGTAGGGTAGGAGAGTTAAGGAGTGACTGACTCCTATAGGGGTATCACTGCCTTTAGCCTCACATGGGTCCAGGTTTCATGCAAAATTTCCAAGATATCTGCCTTGAGTTTTGGCTCAGCTTTCTTAAGAGTAGGTTTTATGCAGAGGCTGCACATAGTGGTCCTGACCATGCCAGGCTCCATCATACTTACAGCTTGCAATATTAGGAAGAAAAAGTCTCTCAAATGCTTCCACAGGTTCTGCGGAATTGAGTCTCTCAGACTGACTGGTTCAAGAGTCTATCCTGAAAACTATCCCCATGGCAAGGTAGATTCAAAACATCTCCGGTGCCACCCGAACCTCATAAGCACCCTGAAGCTCACAGAAAGCTCTCAGAGGATGATGGGGTTGGAGTTTTTAACAAAGAACATCAGGAGCTCTCACACGAGTTGGCCAGATCCTAGACAGAATCAGCAGCTGTCCACCCCAGAACAGAAACCGGGAGGGACATTTCTACATTCAAGTGAGGGCATGGTTTCAGAAGAGGCTGACCCCACTTCTGTTTGTGTTTTTTTTTTGGGGGGGGGTGGTTGGGGGCAGATAGGGTGAGAAGGCAGCATCCTGAGCCTTCCTGTCCTTTTCCAGTTTCAAAATTACCCTTACCAAATAGTTCATATAGTCTCCAGTAGTCCATCAAAAAGTTAGAAGTATATGGTACTTTACTACCATGTGTAATTTCTAATACCATACTATGTATAGACTTTTGAAGTTTTCATTTCTGGGGCTTCAGCACACTACAGTTTCACTGGCGTTCTGCACACAATTCAGATTTTTTCCTGTGCTTGGTGCAGCTTCCCCGAAAATTGCTCTACGATGCTACTCAACCAGTGTTTCCACTTTTTTGCTTGGACGACAGTTCCATGTCAGCATTTCAGCCTTTCCTACATTTCTGCCTCAGATCTCCATTCTCTTTACAAGAAAAGTCCCTTTTGTCTCCTAGTGGCTGCCATTCTTGGAATCAGAGTTGTTCTAACAAGTTCTTCACTGCCTGATGAAACAAATCATTGCATTAGGCTCCTGTGTTTTGAGAGACTAGGTTTAAGGCAGCTCTTTGGAGTTCTCCCTATCACATCACTGTTTGCTTCTGGTGCAGATCCTAAATGGAAATGTCTTAGTTTACTGGGGGTATTTTTTGTTTGTTTTGCTCTACATTAGAACGTGAGTTCTTGAATCCTGTGACCTTTTTGGCTTGCTTACCTCTGAGTCTTGAGCCCTCTGAACAATATGATGTATACTATATGCAGTGAAGAAATGTCTGTTGAATGAATGAATTTTATTCAGCTTCAGTAAGTCATTAATTAATGATCTTTTGCACATATTGGCATAAGAAATACTTTATCGTTAAGGAAATGTCTAAGGAGCTATTGCAAGGACTCATGGGATCTCATCAGAAACCATGGAGACCAGAGAAAGACCAGAAAAGGGAGGAACGATATATTTAAATTACTGAAAGAAAAAGCCACCAATCAAGAATTCTATACCTGTCAAAACTATCCTTCAAAAGTGAAAGAGAAATTAAAGACATTTCCAGAAAAAAGGAGAGGGAGTTGCTTGCTGGCAGACCTGCCCTACAAAAGCCAAAGGGAGTCTGTCCTTCAGGCAGAAATGAAAGAACACTTGACAGTAATTTGAAGACATATAAACAGTAACTACATTAATAAATATAAAAGCCATTAGTATTATGCTTTTTGTTTGTAAAGCCTCTATTTCTTAACATGATTTAAAATAAAAATATAAAATATCAATCTATGTTAATGGCACAAAATGTGGAGATAATATTGAGGATGTAATTTATGACAATTACATTTCAGTTATTGAATGTAAGTTGGTATCAATTCAGACTCAATTACTATAAACTTAGTATGTCAGTTATAACCCCCTTGGTAACCATTAAAATATCTTTTAAAAATACACAAATGTAATCAAAACATTTCACTACAAAAATAAACAGAAGGCGGTAATGGAGGAAACGAGAAACAAATAGGCATAAGACAGAAAGCAGACAGCAAAATAGCTGAAGTCCTTCCTTAGCCATTACTTTAAAGAGACCTAAGGTGGCTATACAACTATCAGGCAATGTAGTAGGCTTTAACTCTCAAACTCTTACAAGAGACAAAGGACATCATATATTAATAAAATTCATTTAACAATTATATACTCACTTAACAAAAATATCTCAAAATATATGAAGTAAACTTTGACAGAACTGAGAGAAATGAGATGTACAATAATAGAGATTTCAATACCCCACTTTCAATAATGGATAGAACATCTAGACAGGAGATAGATTTTTTTAGAAGGGTTGATACCATAATTCAATGAAACCTAACATGATACAGAACACTCCAACAACAGCAGAATACACATTCTTCTCTAGAGCACATAATACATTCTCCAGGATAGACCATATGTTAGGCCACAAAACAAGTCTCAACAAATCGGATAAGGGTGAAATCATAGAATCTCTGACCACAATGGAATGAAACCAGAAATCAACACAAAGAGGAAAATAAACCACACACTCTTAAACAACAATTGGGTCAAAGAAGAAATCGCAAGGGAAATTAGAAAATACAGAGAAATGAACATTAAAAAAAGCTTGTAGGATACAGCGAAAGCTGTATTCAGAAGGAAATTTGTAGCAGTAAACACCTACATTAAAAGAAGATTACAACTCAATAAGCTAACTCCACCCCATAAGATACTAGAAAAAGAGTGAGCTAAACCAAAAGTTAGCAGAAGGAAGAAAATAATAGGGATTTATTAGAGTAGTGAAAAAGAAAATAGAAAAATGATAATGAAGTCAAAAGTTCGTTCTTGATTAACAAAACTGACAAACCTTTAGCCAGACTAAGAAATAAAGTAATCATACAAAGAAAAACTAAAAATCATTGGAGATCATTTTAGTCTTATCTAGGCACGTGTGACTAAAGTGAAACTTGAAAACAAGACAAATGCAAACACAACATAGTGGATAAGCAGAATAGAAGTGAGCACATTTAGTTACTGTTTTCTGTTAAGGACCAAATAGTAAACAGGTTTTACAGGCCACATATGCTCTGTGTCACATATTATTTTTATTTTCTCTTTACAATCTTTTGAAAATAACCATTCAGCCTCTAGGCCATACTAAAACAGGGCCACATGCGAAATTTGCACCGTGGACCAGAGCTTACCTGCCTGCTGCACAAAACCAACAAGTAAGCATGGGAGAAAATTCTCAAGAAGCACTGTCCAGTACTCTGGTACAGTAACCATTAGCCACATAATGCAGTGAGGAGGTGGTAACACAAGTGTAAAATACACAGTAGGTTTTGCAGACTTTGTTCAAAAATAAAAAGGTAAAATATCATTAATGATTTTTACATTTACTACAGGTTGAAATGCTAACATTTGGATGTATTTGGGCTAAATACAGTGTTAAAATCAATTTTACCTGTTTCTGTTTGCTATTTTTATGTGATACTGGAAATTTTAAAATTACATATGAGGTTCTCATTACATTTGGACAACACTGCAATTTGGCAATACTGTGCTTCACTTTATTGCGTTTCACAGATGATGCCTTTTCAACATCAAGGGACCCTCCATCAGCAAAAAGATTATGACTCACTCAAGGCTCAGATGATGGCTAGCATTTTTAGCAATACAGTATTTTCTAATTAAGGTAAGGACATTGTTTTAGACAATGCTATTCCACACTTAGACCACTGTTTAGCATAAGCATAATTTATATACACTGGGAAGCCAAAAAAAATTGTGTGACTTGCTTTATTATAGTGGTCTGGAGCTGAACCCACTGTATCTGAGGGATTCCTGTATCTGTCAAAATCATTTTTTGTTTTTGTTTGGGTTTTTGTTTGTTTGACCTGCAAAAACTTTAAAATGTACATGCCTTTTACTCAACATATCCACTTATAAGAATATATTATTTTTATAGCATGAATTGACATTCTTCCTATGTCATGTACATTGAAACATATCATCTTTCCCAAAGAATCTCGTTTTATTCTCAGGAGCTCCTTAGTGAAAATTACATTGATTAACTTTCTGTGGAGATATTTTTTGAGGAAGGACAGAGCTGGCGGGGATGGGGTGGGATGGGGAAGGCACTGCAGTGTAAATATAAGGCAAACTCATGGACAAGTCCATTGAAAACTTCCACATCTCGTTACGTTGAAGGAGAGTCATGTGTGTCTGTTGCTAGACAATTCATATTCTTTCAACTATTAATGTACTGAGTGAACTAGCCAACTGAGATTTCCAATCAGTTAACAAAATCAGGCAATTTGACAGAAGTCACAGCTGAAATTAAGCAGACTGGCCCGCAGGAAGGACTTTAGTGGAAGACATACAAAGAGTACAGTTACACTTTAAGCCCTACAGGTAAACAAGAGAAATAAGGAAGGGAGCTAGACAGTGTTTGCAGAATTTGAGATTTTTTTCCAAGATACACAGAGAAGGTCACACTGAGAATGTGACCTTTGAGTAAATACAAGTGTCTTAGAGAAAGGTTTCAGAAAAAATCTATAGAAAGGAAAAATGAAGATAAAAATTCAATTGCAGTGTTAAACTGTGTTCCATAAACTAAATGATAAATGACTCACCCCCTGCATCCTCAGCACAACCTCTCATTATAGTTCTTACAGTATAGTGATCTTGAACATATTCTTAACATACAGATCAAGGGCATTACCTATAGCTCTTATTTAAGACCCTTCGATTGCTTTGCACCACACTGATACCCAAATCCACATTACTAATCCTTGCTGTCATTTTTTAAAAACTCATGAATATTATAATGCTAGGATGTAAGTTTTCATCATTCTTCCCATTTTCTGTATGAAGATATGGAGATCCAGTGAGATTGAGTAATTTGCCCAAGGTAGCACCAATTTGCCTGCCCTTTTTGCCTGCCTCTGAAAGCATGTCTTTAATCGCTACGCTGAATGACCATGACATGGGTGCACCACATGCAAGAAAGACACCACATGGGCTTTGTATGCACTGACCAAATCCTGAGACAGCTCTGAGTTGAAGACACTATCACTGTCCCCACATTCTTATGAAACTGCTGAAGCACAGATAAATCCAACACTAAGTCATGAAGTGCAAGAGCTCAATTTAGAGCCAGGAATTCTCACTGTACATCACTGAGCATTTGATTATTTGGTCGGATCACCTGTGTGAAGTCAACCTGCCTCAAAATGGGTGACTGCATCTCATGTCTATCACTGCATTCATAGCACCTACTATATGGCTGGAGTATTTTGAGTAGTTATCGTAGAAGGAACTACTGTTGGTACTATCTTTTCCTTATGGCCACATCAATCATCTACTCTCCACTGACTTTTCTCAGTACATATTAAGTCTTTCATCCATTGCAAACTGGATGATGCCTGCAGAACTTCACAGAGACCACTGTAACCAGTATCACCCAGAAGACCCCTGAGTAAACCCAATATTCATGTCCAGAGTGGACTGCCATTACTCTCAACACACAACACTGCTCGCCTCTCAGAACCACTCATATAAGAATGTGTCTTATAAATTTACAATAATTAACTCCTTAATATCCTATAATTCACTTTTTCACAACAGTCTCTTACACAACAGTCTTTTTCACAACAGTCTCTTAATATCCTATAATTCACTTTTTCACAACAGTCAGTATACAGTTGGTTAGTTCTAAATCACATCTAAATGGCTTTTATTTTTTTTCCTTGACTGGGATCTTTTAAAGCACATCCAAAATCTTACATACTTTTTAAAAACATAACCACAATACCATTATCACACCCAACCAAATTGAGTGATATGTATTCTGTCTGGCAATGGACAAGGTAGATTATTTCATCAAATGTAAACATCTGACTCTTGTGTTTAGTACATATTAATCTGCAACTATTAAGTCCAGTTTGGATCATATCATTTAAATGTAACAGAAAGTACACAATTTTTTCTTTCCTGGAAAATCACCCACATTTTAGTATGACTATGTTTTTAGTTGATAAGAGACTCCACACCTTCAAGTCTTCTGAGAGCTGATGCCGATTTAGAGGCTCAATTACATTCAGATTCAGTTTTTCAAGACTATTTTATGGACAGCGTTCTGTATTGCCTGTCACAGCCTAATGGGATGCATGTAATCTGACTGTCCCACATAAGTGTAGTAAGAATTATAAATTGGGTGATATTAACCTTTTCTACCAAACTTCCACCTAAAGTTTCAGTCTCCATTAATTAATGTTTTCTAACCCTATAATTTCACCAGGGCTTCGAATTCTATTAATCCTCCATTTTTCTTAATTCATCAAATAACTTTGCTACGCGGTTTCTTAACCTTTGTCTTTCCAATGGTCATATTCTTTACTGCAGTTGCTCGTTCCCACAGACAATGCTATATTTTTTACCAACACCTTCAACATCCATAAATCTTAATTTCAGGCATTCTGTTCTGCAGTAACAACTCTGTATCTTGTATTTCTAGTTTAACTGCCTTTTAGTTCCCCCCAACAGTAACCATTTAACAAACACATGCCCCACCCCCTGCTTCCAGCAATGCTGCTATTTTTCAGTGGAGAACTCTTCCTCATAAACTTTGTCATGTAACTCTAAGAGTCTGCCACAGAAACAAAAATGATCATTTACACAATGCTACTGGTCAATTATATCTCAGTAAAGCTAGGGAGAAAATTAAAATGATCATTTCTATCATAACAAAATTATCCACTTGTTCTGCTATTATTCTTTTTTTAAAGTCTACTTTGTCTGATATTAATATAGCTGTGCTAGCTTTCTAATGTTATTGATGACATGAACTATCTTTTCCCTTCCTTTTACTTCCAACCTATCTGTGTACTCATATTTAAAGTGCAACTCTTGGCACAATAAATAGTTGAAACCTGTCTTTTCTTCCCATGTGGCAATCTCTGTTTTTCTTGGAAATACACAGAAGAGGAAACTTCTTATGTGCAGGAAATATTTTATTTCTTCCTTTGGTTGCTGGTTACCTTTGTACTTTCTTTGTGAAAATGCACTTTCCTGTGTGTATATTATGCTTTTTAAAGTTTAGTTAAAATATACAAAGTTAAGGGTATTTTGTCCACTGGCAATAAATCCAGGGCTCTAAATGCATGCCACTTTCACATTCAATAGGAGCTCAAAGTCTCCACTGAACCAGAAGATACCTCCAATGTATGGAGGTTCCACACAGTATGTTTCCTGTGGTTAAACTAATTCAGCACTAGGGACATTTTTGTCAAGAGTTTGGGAGCTTGATACCGGTGGCTGTTGATCATTGATCTCCTCCAAGCTGTGTCGGATCCCATATCCAAAGTATATGGCAAATCCTAGTATGGAAATGAGACAATGAGAGAGAAAAATGGGCACTCTCCCCACTTCCAGGTGCCCAATAGGCCTCCTCTTACAACATCTGAGACAGTTTTGGGGAAAGGTGGTAGGAAGAGGATTGGGTTCAGTTACCCAAGAGGGCCCTTGTCCCTAGAAAGCCACTTACCAATCACCATCCAGATGCCAAATTGGGCCCAGGTTCTAGTGGTCATCTGCATCATTAAATAAGTATTCACAAAAATATTCGTCAGTGGGAGGACAGGCAAAGCAGGGACCTGCGGGCAAAGTCAGTTAATCGCTGCACATGACATAGAAGCTTGAAAAGCAGACCCTTTATTCCACTGAATGGAAGGAAGACTCCAGTCCTATTTGGACTGCGTGTTTGATGCCTACTCATATCAAGTATCCCACTGAATGTTCCTGGATGGAACTATTAAGTACTGAGTGTGGATCACAGAATGGTCCTTGGTTTTAGAACTCCCCTTGTTCTCCCCTGGTCCAGCAAAGAATGCTTAGACTGCAAAGTATGCAGAATTCATTCACTCAAGGTCAATAGTTTGGGGACATAAAGTCAATTACCTTGAAGCGAAGAGGAGTTGGGTTCTGGGGCTGTCTCCAAATGATGATTGTGATCCCCAGAATGAGCAGAAGCAGCAGCCCAGCCACTATTGTGAACACTGGGTCTCCAGAGAACATATGGCTGGGCCAATGGGCCAGTATCAAGCACAGGACCGTCAGCAAAAGAGCTGCAAGAGTCAAGTTAGAGGAGAACAGGTCTAACTCCAGAAGTCAAATATGTCGAGACCTTGGGTCACATCCCACCCCAAAATTTCCCACGTCAAGAAAGGCCACCATGTCTCCAAGACTCCTCATCAGCTGCAAAAGGCACACATCCTGTCAATTTCAGAATACCACCAAAGAGAAATCCCGCTGCTCACCAAGCAATAAGGCACATCCATAGACAGTGTGGCCAGATTTCCGAGTAGGGATGGTGTTGACAGGGTAATATAGACTCTTTAGAGTCTTTGAGATTCCTGCTTCAGGTACAGATTCCAAAGAACTTGCTTCAAGTTCAGATTTTGTCTCAATTATTTGCACCTCCATTTTCTCATTCTTTCTTAAAACCTGGTCTGGCTGGTACCTGAATGAGAGATATCAAGTCCATATTCACACCAGCCCTACCCATCCAACATCAGGCAGCCTAACCCACTTCTTCTGCACTTAGAAGACAGTATGAAGGCAGAAGAGGGTTAGCCCCTCATCAATCCTCATGAATTCAAGACCTCCGATCAAGAAGTAGTAGAGTCTCACCTGAGGACAAGCACAGAGAAGGCCACTAGGGAGTAAGTAAGCAGGGTCCCAATTGACATGAGGTCCACAAGATCACTGAGCTCGAAGAAGAATGCCATGAATGCTAGAAAGAAGATGCAAATGAGGTGAGAAACCACTGGAAGTATCCAAGTTGAGGAAATTGATCAGAAAAGGGGTGGGTTTTGTTTATTCACCTGCAAGGATTCCAGAAACAATGGTGGCTGTGATGGGAGTGTGAGTGCGGGCATGGATCTGGGCAAGTCCCCGGAAAAGGAGCCCATCCTCTGCCATTGCGTGGATCACCCGAGGCATGGGGAACATGGAACCCAGAAGGCTGGAGGAAAAAATGGGAACAAGTGTGAAGATGTGGAGAGCAGGATACACCAGGGCTTCTGCTCCCCAGCCTACATGGGGGTAAGTTGTCTCTTCCTTTCATCTCTCCATCTAAGGCTGGGACACTTGAGAATATGAAGTAGATGGGGAGGAAACTTTGACACTGACCTGGATGAAAGAGCACAGAGGGTGCCAGCAGCCACAACATATCTGGCAGGGGCCCATCCGACCTGGTGAAAAGCTTGTGGCAAGGGGCTGTCAGAATCAATCTGATAGTAAGGCACTATGAGGGTGAGTGCCGCTGAGACACCAAAATATGCCAAGAAGCATATGAAGAGTGAGACCACGATGCCCAGGGGGATGGAACGCTGAGGATTGCGGGCTTCTTCCCCTGCAGGACAGGTGGAAGCGTTGGGTCAAGAAAACACACCAAGATGAAGGCACAAAATACTCTTAAACCTCCAAAGCAAGTTAACTTTTTAACAGTCCTATGGCCAAGGGCAGCCCAAACTGTGTCCAAACCCCAAATGGGACGGAATGACCATGTTACCTGCTGTAGCAATGCAATCAAAACCAACGAATGCATAGAAACATGTAGCTGCTCCATGGAGAATCCCTTCAAAGCCAAAAGGTACAAACCCTCCAGAACCCAGAGGGCCCAAGCTGTGATGAGAGATGGTACAAGGAAGAACATGGGTGAGCTGTGTTCAGCCATGTCTACTGGATGCTTCAGTCAAGACCACAGTCCTAAGCTCAACTCCCCTCATCACCTGGACCCATCAGCCCAGGTCTCTGTTTGCTATCATATTCCTACTCCCCCAGCACACACACACACACACACACACACATTGCCATGGCCAAGATTGCCTCCTAACCTGTAAGTGTCATTGGATCCAGATTTGGCCTCTTCGTAGTCCTGTTGCGTGAGCTGCCAGTGGTGTAGGTTTCCCTTAATGAAGCCAGAGAGGATGACAAAGCTGAGAACCAAAAGGTTCACGCTTGTGAACATCTTGGTAACCAGGGCTGACTCACTAGCTCCCAGTTCTGTCTGCTATCATATTTTCACTCCCCCCGCACACACACACACACACACACACACACACACACACACACACACACACACACACACACATTGCCATGGCCAAGATTGCCTCCTAACCTGTAGGTGTCATTGGATCCAGATTTGGCCTCTTCGTAGTCCTGTTGCGTGAGCTGCCAGTGGTGTAGGTTTCCCTTAATGAAGCCAGAGAGGATGACAAAGCTGAGAACCAAAAGGTTCACGCTTGTGAACATCTTGGTAACCAGGGCTGACTCACTAGCTCCCAGAACCAGTAGACCTGGGGGAAAGGTGAAATATGAAACATAATTGAATAAAACATAGCTGACTCCATAGAGACAGAAAGCAGACCAGTGGTTTCCAGGGGTTGGGGGGAGCAGGATGGGCAGTGACTGCTTAATGGGGACAGGGTTTCCTTTTGAAATGATGAAAATATTTTGGAACTAGATGAAGGTAATGGTTCCTCAACATTGCAAATGTACTAAGTGCCACTGAATCGTACACTTTAAAATGGGTAATTTCTTACCGTCATAGCCATCTCATAGTATAGATATGTATCAAACCACCACACTAGACACCTTAAACTTACACAATGTGATGAGTGTCATTAGATCTTAATAAAGTGGGAGAAAATAATAAAATAAAATTGTTAATTTTACATTATGTGAATTTCACCTCAAATTTTTTTTAATTAAATGACATCATTTTTAAAAACTGGTTTCAACACAGAGGAAGAAACATGTCTGTCTAAGTTAATAGTTCTCAGCTGGAGGTGGTTTCGTCCTCCAAGGGACATTTGGCAATGTCTGGAGACATTCTGATTGTCCCATTCGAGGGGGTAGGTGTCACGGCCATCTGGTGAGTAGGTCATTGGCAGATCACTCAATATCCTACAATGATTTTTTAAAAAACGAAACCCAACAAATACATAGGACAGCCCCGCACAACACATACAAAATGAATGATCCAGCTCAAAATGCCAGTCGTGTCAAGGGTGGGAAACAGTAGTCTACCTACCATCTTATCTTCCTGCCCCTCCCACTGCATGTCCATTTATCCAGTCTCTAATCCACTTACCATTTTGCCATCTCCAGGCCCTTCCCATCCCAGCTCCCTCTCCGTGCCCCACTCTTCCCATTGTGTTTCTGACTCCTGCCTCACCAGTGAGCAGCAGCACCAGGCCCAGTGAGATAAAGTCTGTGTACTTGGCCAGGTGGGGCACATGCAGAGAGAAACTGCCCTGCAGGACCCGAGAAATATGGTTCCCAGTCAGGCTGTCGATGGCGGAGCTCCAGGCCCTGGCCACACTGGCGCTACCTGCAGGGCAAAAGAAGTAACATTCATCTGCAAATGTTTTGCATCCCTACTAGGGTGCCATGGGATATATTTTGAGGAGAAAAACACAAAATACATAATCTCAAAGAATTTCTTTTTTCTCGGGGTGGGGAGAGCAGGCATAGATGTTTCACAAAACAGGTAAACTAAGATGTTAGGAGGAGATCAGTGTTGTGCAGAGCAACAGGGAAGTGGGAGCTGGAGGGCTAGGAGGTGGGCATTGAAATTTTAAATCGAGCAGTGGGGAGTCTCACGGAGGCAACAGCTGAGCAAAGACCTCACAGTGGTGAGGGAGTGAACCTTGGGGAACATGTCTCTCTCTCACCCACAGGAATTCTTCCCCACTTCCTACAATTCCCACTTCTTCCTGGTTCTTGGTTCAGTAATTTAAGAAAAGCAGGATAGAGTTGAGTAGAATGAAGTTTGGGGGTTTTTCTGACACTCTTACCTACTTCCCCTCACAAGGTAAATAAAGCATTTATGAATGAAGATGAAGACTCCAATCCCTCCTTCCTATAGTCCTGATCTGCGGTCCCTTGTTTTCCCCACATCATCCCCATCATCTCACCGATGATATATGAGAGTATGAGGGTCCATCCAGTGATGAAGGCACACAATTGTCCCACAGTGACATAGCTGTAGAGATAGGAAGAACCAGAACATGGAACCCGGGTCCCAAACTCTGCATAACAGAGCCCAGACAACATGGAACTCAGGGCAGCCACCAAAAAGCAGATGACAATTGCCGGTCCAGCTATCTCTCTGGCCACTTCACCAGCCAGGATGTACACGCCTGCTCCCAGGGTGCTGCCCACACCCAAGGCCACCAGATCTAAGGTGCTCAGACAACGGGCCAAACCAATTTCAGACCCTTCTCTTGGCTCCAAGGGTCGCCTGCGGACCAGCTTCTGGCCAAATAGACGAACATGCTGACACAGCATCCTAGATGGCGTTGAAGAGGAGGCTAAGATCTGCAGAGAAACCAAGACAGACAGCCATCAGAATGTCCATCTACCCTTGGCCTTGGGAGTAGGACATAGAAAACCAATCTGTAAAGCAGTGGTAAAAGGACATATTGGGTAAGTCATTCATCTCTAAGCCTTGGTTTCAAATGTAAATAGGACTTAATACGTTTCAAAGTTACTGGAAGGATTGCTTGAAGAGTACTGTGCCTGGCACCTAGTAGCTACTCAGTTTCTATGAGCTGAGTGGATAAGAGTGCTGATTTTTAAAGCCACATCACCCAGGTTCACATCCAGCTCTGCCACGTATCAGTGATCTGATTTTGCACAAGCTACATACTAATACAGAGTAGGAGGCAAGAGAATTAAAATGTTAATAAAACCACAATCAGAGACTACAATATCCTGATCAGCCCTGCAGCCAGGCCAAGAGGACACCTGCAACACAAAGGAAGATTTCTGCTGGGATTACTAACAGCCCATTCTCCACACCTGTGAAGGGGAAAGAGGAACCGAGTCATTCTCCATGGCTAAAACCATGGGAAACCTAAGGATTAAAGGCTGGGAACTGCCCGCAGGCCTTTCAGTCTACATATTCTCACCTTTTCATGCTACATACTCTTCCCCTTCCTCATTGTATGTCCACATTAAAAGAAATGGGTTAACAAAGTCTTTTAAACTAGAATTCACAAGAACTAAAAAAAATGATATATAAACTGAATTTCCTAAACACTCAAGACCCCTCTCAGTGCCTTTACTCTGTCTCTCACTGTTTCTCTCACTGTCCCTCTCGCTTTTGGCCTCTGAGAGGGACACCACACTGTCTGTAGAGTATTACCTTTTTCTAATAAACTTTCCTTTTGACTCCAACTTTGGCGTGTGTGTTGAATTCTTTCTACACTTCCCGCCAAAAGACCCTCTTCTCTTGGTGCAGGGCTTGATCTCCCTCCTCCCACCCTCCCCAACCTCGGGGAAATGTGCCCTGTCCTGCATCAATACCACTCTTTACCCACCCTTCTCAGTAAAACAGAGGAAACTCTTACTATTATCATCATTATTTCCTCCCTTCCTTGATAGGTAACTGCGGGGCTTGGTCAAGGAGAGAGAAACTTGATGGCTTTGTGTTTTGTTGCCTGCAGAGTAAAACAGATTTGGAATTTGGAACAGGGCAGAAAGAGATGGAATTTATAGGGAGGGAGATTCTAGCCCAGATCAGTGCAAACATCAAACCAGTGTGGCCTCCCAGTTGCCTGGAGGGAGGGAGTACTGCTCTTCATTCCAAATCAGAAATCTTTCCTATTCTTTTGGGGCTTAGAATGTCTCCTCACTTACACCTCTGCAGGGCAAAAAGCATGACCTTTAAAAGGAAGGAAATTCTGACACAGGCTACAACACGAATGAACTTTAAGGACATTATGCTCAATGAAAGAAACTAGTCACCAAAAGACAAATACTGTATGACTCCACTTCTATGAATTACCTAGAGTAGTCAGATTCAGAGACAGAAAGTAGAACGATGGGGGGTTGGGTATAAAAGGCGAAGGGATTAAGATGTCGGATTGGTAGTTACAAAATAGTCACGGGGATGTGAAGTACAGCACAGGGAATATAGTCAATAATATTATAATAACTATGTATGGTGTCAGATGGGGACTAGACTTATCAGGGAGATCATCTCATATGGTATATAAATGTCTAACCACTATGCTGTACACCTAAAACTAATATAATATTGAGTCACAACTGTAATTGAAAGTTTTTTTAAAAAGAAAGTAGAATGGTGGTTGCCAGGGACTGGGAGAGGGGAAGTAGGAGTTATTATTTAATGGTTATGGAGTTTAACTTTTGCAAGATGAGTTCTAGAGACTGGTTGCACATCAATATAATTATACTTAACATTACTGAACTGTGTGCTTGGCTATCGCCCATGGGAACATAGGTTATCACCCATGGGAACATAACATTCTAACAATAAACTTTCTGTTTCTGTACCCCCGCTTGCACAACCCACCTGTGGGTTGACAGTAAATAGAAGAAAAATAGACTTTTGTGTTCAGACAGAATGAGGAATGGGGTTCAAGGCTCTACATTTTGGGGCTGCTTAATTTGGAGTCTGCGTACCCCTGGCAGACCCAGCTGGCTGAATAGAGTGTGTTTCCTATAACTCACTGATTTCTGGTGGTCCATGTGTCTATCAGGAGCTGGCGGCTACAACACTGTACACTTAAAAATAATTTAAAATGGTCAATTTTATGTTATGTGTATTTTACCACAATTTTTTTAGAAAATACTGTCAATAATAATAGAGTTGATAATTAAGACGGTAAATTTTGTGTATTTTACCACCATTTTTTAGAATTGCTGGGTGTAACAAACAAATCAGCTTATATAAGAGACTGAAATCAATGGCTCAACAATCTTAAACCTTAAATAAGTTTTAACATTTAATATTATTTACACATGAATCAAAAGAAAAAAAACAGCCTT